CAGGGTCTGCTGGCTGGGTGCTGGCAGGCTTGCACCTGGCATGGGCACCGTAGCCAGCCCGTGCCCCTTTAAGGGGTCTGGGGCTGGGAGGGGGGCAGACGAGTTTCCCTGGTGTTGGCCAGAGTGGCCACTAGGAAAACCTGGGGAGGGCTAGCCTCCCACTAGTTCGAATTAAGGGTCTACACAGCCCTTAATTCGAACTAGTAAATTCGAACTAGGCTTAATCCTCGTGGAATGAGGATTACCTAGTTTGAACTAAGCGCTCCATTAGTTCGAATTAAGTTCGAAATCACGGAGCGCTAGTGTAGCGCCTATGAAAGTTAGTTCGAACTAACGTCTGTTAGTTCGAACTAACTTTGTAGTGTAGACATACCCTCCGTGCTCAGATGCCCTCCTAGACTATTCATCCCCAAACAAGAGGCAAGAGTCATATTACATTTTGAACTTTGCTTTTGACTATCTGTATTTAAGTTGCACTCATGCCCTAGCACTTCGTGGTGTATTATCTGGAAAGATGTTTGCCTGATATGTTTGCACATGAGGTATAGCACGAAGGTGTGACTGATTCTGAAGCCCAAGCCCTTTGTACCCACAGACCTGCTGTGTGCAGTTCAGCTCTTGCAATGAGCTTTCTCTTCCCTCAGAAAAGGGTCCCTTCTTTTGGAAGCCCAGTGCTTCAGATCTCCTAAGCTCTCTCTCATCTGTGTCTATCTTCCGTGCAGGTGACCCTAAATTAAACAGGGGGTGAACCTAGGGCCTTTTGTCTAGCTGGACTTGCCTCAAACTTGGGTGTTTCAGGAAAAAAAAAGATCCTGCCTTCAAACTAATCCTGGCTTTACTTTTGCAAAATCTAAACATGGCTCCTCCTCTAGCTTCACCTGAAACTAAATGGAAGATTTAGTAAATCTAAATGGTAGGGTTACCATGTTTGAACTTTCAAAAAAGAGGACACTCCTGAGAGGGAGGGAGTTACCTGTTACTATACTATACTATACTATACTATACTATACTATACTACAATGTGAGTTGGTAAATACTGATATAGATTCACTCCCTCTCAGGAGTGTCCTCTTTTTTGAAAGTTCAAATATGATAACCCTAGATTTGGGTTGAGAGAGACTAGGGAGAATGATCAAGCCTGCTTTCCATTTAAGACCCCCAAACTAGTTTGCCTTTGAGGGTACCCACTGCAAATAACAATACTGTTCACATAGAACAAAGTATCCTGTAATTTTTGCTCATGCAGCCATAGAAATAAAGCCATGCCATGACAAATCTATCCCGGGCATAGCGGCATGGAAATCTTTAGCATTACAAGTAGTATGGATTAGGCCAACTGTGATATCAAAGTCCTGCTGCGCCACATTAGTTTGCTAATGACTCTAGCAACAGTTCCATTAATTCATCCCCCACTGATCACGCTCTACCTGTCTTCAGAACACCTGTTCTGTCCAGCTGCTGAAGTGGCCAGTTGCCTCCTTTTCATTTATCAAACCCCTACTATGCCCTGCCTTTTCAGTACAACCCATGTCACAGTCTAGAAAGATCTAGATCTAGAGAGGTTTTAGACATAGGAAAGAGAGGCAAAGGGATTATCCAGAGGCCAGCTTTTGATGAACCAGAGATGTCCCCAAGAGAAGCTCCATATAGAGCTGAGTAGCGAGGTGTATCACTTTGGACATTTAGTTTTCTGTCTTTTTTGAAACAGCTGCCTTAGTCCATTCATGATAATACTTATTCACCTGCATGTATTTTGCATCTCAAGTAATTCCAGAGCAATGTGTGCCCAAAAACGATCCACCACTGAAATGAAATTCAGTGCCTATTTAACAGTACACTACAAGCATACAAAATAGCTTAGGAGAGAAGGCAAAGAAGTTACTTATATTTATGGTTTAGATTAATTTGTGGGCTATTTCCAAAGACTGTCATTTGGCAGCTCTATTTATTCTTACAGTCAGGTTTTCTTTTCTTTTCTTTTTCTAGTTCTGGCATTTTGGAGACTGGGTGGATGTGGTGATAGATGATCGGCTGCCTTTTCTCAAGGGGAAATACCTGTCTGTCAGACCTCGCTGCAAAAATGAATTCTGGCCATCCCTGCTAGAGAAAGCATATGCCAAGTAAATATACCCACCAAATCTTTCTTTCCTGCCATTGCTGAGTCTTGTACTTGCGTAGCTGTATGTTGTGCCAGCTGCTTTGGACAAAGTCTCTTGTGTAGTGTTGTTCAGGACCATGGGCCAATATTCTGAGCACTGAGTATGTGATGAATTCTGGTGGCATGTACTCACAGATACTACAGGCTGAAGACTGTCAAATTTTAAACTGAATATGTAAAATTCCCTGGTTCTCTTCTGTGTTTTTGAGAGGCAGTGTGATCTAGTGGGTGGATCATTGGTGTGGGCTGGAGGAGACCTTAGTTCTATTTCTGAGCCAGATATTTAGCTTTGGAAAAGTCACTTCACCTCTGTTTTCCCACCCACATTTTGTCTATTTAGACTCTGAGCTTTTTAGGACATTAAATGTTTACATAGAAAGTCTCACTTGAGGCCTCTAGCAGCTATCTTAACACTAATAATGAATAAAACTAGTCTCCTTGAATTCTCAGCATCAAAAGCAAGGTCCTGTATTACTTGAGTTTAGGAAGAATGCTTCAGCTATGTGTAAGTAGCAGGCTATTCTACTTACTGAGACCTGCAAGTAGGAGCTAAATTAAGCCTGCATGTTACCTATGTAATACAGGGAGTGCACTAAGTGCATGCTTGGCAGTTTAACAAATTCAGCAAGGAATAAGAAAATGGTAAAGCGGTGATTGGGAGACACAGAAGTGGAAAATTCTGCCACAATGTACTTCAGAAAAGTTGACTCAAGTAGGAACTGCTTTGCAGGGTACAGTTTTAATTCCAGAGCAAACTGAACCTCTATTCAATTAAAATTGCAATAGCTGCTGATATGCGTTTCCAATTGAGATGTTTCCCTCAGTGCATGTGGAAATTCCTTTCATGAGTGTAGGTCAAGGACATCATTCCCAAAAACAATTAGCCCTGGATTTCATTTTCCAATTCTCCAGTGTATGAAATTCAGTGTACACTGTGAGTTTTAATGTTGTGTATATTCATGCTGTACCTACAGTACTGTCTAACTCTAGACTTTTTGGAGTTGTAATGAAAGCACAAGACAAGGAAACTCAGCTCCTGCTTTAATCATGGCCTTGTGAGAACCCTAGTGTTCAAACATTGTTATTGTCAGATTGCTCTTCACTTGGGGCTCATCTAGACTCCGCTAAAGTGTCGAAAGAGGAAATGCAAATTCTGCGGGAATTTGCCTATCTTCTTCCAATCTCATTTTCGAAAGCAGAGCTTTCAAAAGTGAAAGTAGTCAAGATGCATTTTTTTGGCAAACCCCTCTATCTTGAAAAGCCACATAAACCTCACTTTTTGAGGAAAAGCGGCTTTTTGAAAAAGGGGGTGATGCCGAAAAAAACACATCTTGACTACTTTCACTTTCGAAAGCTCCGCTTTCAAAAGTGAGGTCGGAAGAAGATCTGCAAATTCAAGCAGAATTTGCATAAATATATGCAAATTCCCACATAATTTGCATATCCTCTTTTGACACTTTAGCGTAGTCTAGCCGAGCCCTTGCTGGTGAACAGCCAGCAGTGGTGTTGGTCCACTTCTTACATCTTATGTGAGATTAATGGTGCATGCTGGCACTCTGCATAGATGGGAGAATTCCTTCCTTGTGTCTCACACTAGCCATGTGTCTGTGTACCTGCACATGCATGCATTTGATCATACCTCTCTTCACTAGTGATCCCAATAATTATACAGCTTCATGCATTCTGAAAGCCAGAGGAATTACTCTTTAGCTCAAGTGGTAGAGGTTTCAACTTCAGTTGCTGAAGGGACCAGGTTCAATCCAGGACTTACCATTATGTATGCATGTTCATTTCAGCCCAGAGTTATGAGATATAGTATATTTAGAATATGCTCATGCACCACAGAGAGTATTTAATGGTGTCCATTCAGTTAATTTTCTCTGTGCAGTGATTATCACAGGAACAAATCCATTCCCTTTTATTTTTCCCAGGTTGCGAGGCTCCTATCAGAACTTGCACTTGGGTTACATTTCCGAAGCACTAGTGGACTTGACGGGTGGAGTTCAAGTGCAATTTTCTTTACAGAGCCCTCCTTCTGATCTGCAGGAGATACTGAAAGCAGCTGTGAAATCACAATGCCTGATGGGATGTGCCACACCAGGAAAGGTAAGCAGGACAGGCCTTCTTGCCTTTACCATATTTATATTGGACAAATTCTTTTGAGAATCCATATCACCCTGTAACACAGGTACTCTGACGGGGGCCTGTAGTGTCCTTAGTGGCAGAGAAGAAAAGAAATTTAACTGTAATGAATATAAAGATTTTTTTCAATTGAGATTGAAGGACAGAAACAGATTCACTATTTTTCTCTAGGGGTACATCTACACTGCACGACTATTTCGGGATACCAAAGGTACCCCATAATAGCTACCTTTCATCTACACAATCCACCTGTTATTTCAAAATATTTTCCTATATAACGAGCACACTATTTCGGCATCCCAGTAACCCTCGTTCCACGATGGTTAAGGGATGTCGCGAAATAGCACGTTATTTCAACATTTGGCGCTTTGTAGATGCACCATATTTCAAAATAATCTATTTCGAAATAAGATACGCAATTTGTGTAGCACAAATTGTGTATCTTATTGTGAGTTTAGGGTGCTGTGTAGAGGCACTCTAATTCTCAGACTGACTATGCTCCCCAGCAGCACTAGAGAGTTTCTCACTAAATCCTAGCCTGGACTCCACCATTGTAGAAGGGATGACTACTCAACAGGGCTAATCAGCAATGATGCCAGAAATCATGGGCTGGGGTGGTTGGACAGAAAGCAGATGCCAAAGCCAAAAGGAAATTTTCTGGCTCAAAGGTGCCCTAATTATGTTTTTTGATAGCTCCTGATTAGAGCTTCAGACATAATAGGCCTAGAGCGCTAGAATGGAACTGTACTCCCTTGCACCAGTGTGAAAACTGGCCTTAGAACTTCAGGACCAGAATCTTAGATGATCAGTTTCTAGGGCAGGAAAACCAGGAGGAGGTCTGCTGTTGTGACTGCTGCTGACTGCTATTGGGTATTGGCTGCTAGCTCGGTTGGTAGAATGGAAGGTTCCAATATGAATAAGGCAAACTCCTCCCAGGCTGAAAACACAATTGAGATATAGTGCTGCTTTCTGGGCCATAGCTGGGCCCACAGGGGCTATCATAAAAGCATGCATGTTGTCTGCTAGGATGCTGCGAAAAGATATCCATGGAATTATCAGACTATGCAAAGTGTGTGTCATGCTTCCTCTAGTGTTTATTCACTAATGGGGAGCTGCCAACAGTTGCTGCCCATTAACCATATTACTCCTTTAGTTCAAGTGCTAAAAGTTGGTGCATAGGTTGCAAATTCCTGTGCTCATTTCCTGCCAATGACCCACCCCAGGTGCTCTTCCACAGCAGGCAGATGTATGACCTGCTCTGACACTGAATTCTTATGAGTGTTTCAGCTGTGTGATGCCTTCATAGCATCATTAACTGTGCTGCAGGGGTGGCTGGTATGCTAAACAGGAAAAGGCACCACCTTCTCAAACCTCCAGGCATGGCCCCTCCAACATTCCACCCCCACAGCATCTACTGTAGGTGTACTGGGGGCAGAGAGTTGCTGCCCCCCAGCACCCACCGTCCCTGATGCTCCAGGTCCGAGGAGGCTAGGGCCGCTCACCCTCTGCTCTCTCCAGTGCTCCGAGGCTGGGAAAGCTGGGGCTTCCTGTGGTGCTGGGGAATGGGACTGGAGGGGCTTGCCTCCTCTAGCCCTGCCTTAACCAACTGCCCATGCTGTGCTGGATTAGCTTAGGGCTGCCAGGGAATGAACCTTAGGCACTTAGACAACGCTAGATCTGAACCTCTAATGTAAGTGAAGTCAAATTTATTTATCTTTTTTTCTCCCAAACTAACTAAATAGCAGTTTGGTTGGCAAACGAATGCATGAGTACAAGGCTTTCCGGGAGCTAACGGCTGTGCTTTCTCTCCTCAGCCATCAACTGGGGACCCAGAGCCAAAGAATGGACTTGTGAGAGGCCATGCCTATACTGTGACAGGGGCTGAAGAAGTAAGAACTGGGATCTTTTCCCTGTCATTCTCTCGGTAGTATTCTATGGCCATCTCTTGATTCTCACACTGACTGCTGCTCCATGCCCTGTTGCTTTCCAAGATTTTAAGGTTAGAGGGGATCCTTAATGATCATCTAGTCTGACCAGCTGCGTAACGGATGCAGGTGAATTTCACCTGTAATTCCTGCACTGAACCACAAATTTCTGCAGTCTAGGATTTTATGTGGAGGAAAGGGAATAGGGCCAGCTCTTTGTTTTCAAGCAATGCATCGAAGTGATGGAGAGTAGAGCCCGTTGTTAACCCTCTTTGCTTCATAGCCCACAGACAATGACACTGACTTTTTGTCCTGCTGGGTTTTATCTGAATCAGAATGCTTCTTTTTATTGAACTGATCCGAAATGTTTAGAATCAGTTTAATAAAAATAGTAAACTGTCTTTCCCTGGCAATGCATTGTCTTACAGGAGTTGTAAGTCTGGCCCCTATGGTCTATGGGCTGAATTTCCTGGAGGACACCATTTCCCATAATGCAATACTGATTTCCCTCTGACCAAACTGTGTGGTGCATCATGGGAGATGTAGTCCAGCTAGGGAGCCTGGTATATAAGGGAACCTGGTGACATCAAGTTCCCAAAGTACAATGCCTGACATTTTGGGAAGGCCAAAATGTTTTGTTTCAATCTAAAATATCAAAATGATAGATTTCACCCTCTGTGAATCAAAATTTCTCATAATTTCTGTCCAATAGAATTTTTTTTAAATTTTCACTTTTTGTCCTGACATGGGGCAAGAGGTTATAAAATCCTATTAAGGATGAGGTTGATGTTGCCAGGTGTCCAGTATTGCCCCAGACAGTCTGGTATTTTTGCCTCCTGTTGGGTAAAAAAATTCAGAAAATACTGGACACCCAAAATGTCCGGTATTTTCTGATTTTTTTTTTTCCCAGCCAGGAGGAGAAAATCCCGGGTGCTTACATGGTTCCGCAGGGAGCTGTCTGGCCCGGAGCAGGAAGACAAGATGGTGGACGCCACTGGCAGCCTGTTAGGGCCAAAAAGCCTCAAAGGGGCCATGCTGGGTTTTTTTTGTTTTGTTTTTGCTTAATAACTCTCGGGGTCCTTTTTCTTTTTATCAACAACTTTGGTCTCCTCCCCCCTTTTTTTTCTCAACAGAATTTTTTCCCACTGTGTTTTTTTATGAGGGGCGGGAGAAGGTGTTTGTTAATAGTTGCCTAGCTCCTGTGGGATTGGGAAGCTTTGTGTTTGGAAAGCACTTTGATGCCTATCAGAAAACGATGCCTCTGTCTTGGAAGGGGTTCTAGCCACAGTGAAACAGGCCTTCATTACTTCCAGAAACTCTGGATCTGGACAAGAATTGGAAGCCACTCAAAAGGTCTGGTTCTCCTGTCTGCTACACCAGTTTATGTTCCTCCCACCCCGCCAACTTTAGTGGAGTTACTCCTCAGTTACACTAGAGAGAGCAATAAAATTCTCAAGTGTAGATGCTCCAAGTGCTGCAGAACACAGATGCTCCATCGCATTTAACAGGAAACACCAAGCTGGGAATAGAAGCTGGGAGTTAGGAACTGGATTCCCAGATGATAGGTACCATAGAAATAGACATAAATAGACAAGAATGATGGACAGGCTCTCTAGTTCTGTGTTCTCAGCATTATGCTGCAGTGCACCCTCTCCTCTCCTTCTCCCCCCCCTCCACACTCCATATAGATGCATTCTAATCATCATGATGGCCTTGACATCGTGGGCTTTGCTGGCTCAGAAATGGCAGTCACACAGAATTAGCGACAGTACGTTCCCATGTGTTTTACAGTCATGGGATATGGCAAGCAGCCCATCTTCTGACTGTGTCAGCGCTCTGATCATGGTGCTAAGGAAATAAATGGATGCAGTGCTCTCTAGTGCCTTGTTTTCTATACAATGTAGCAGAGAGATGCTGATTGTGTTTGGTTTGTATTTTTTTCCTCGACAGATACCATACCAGTACAGCCAGGAGGAGATCATCAGAGTGTGGAATCCTTGGGGCCACCGGGAGTGGAAAGGGCCTTGGAGTGATCGGTATGGCTTTACAGATTTGATTGCAGGGGTGAAACTTTTGTGGGTTTAGTGCAAAGCAGTTCTGTCCAGGGCTGACTACAGTGGCATAGTCAACTAATCTGCTTTTAGCCCTTTTTTCTATCACCAAAGCTACCTCCCATTTGGAGTCCTATTTGGGATTGAAAACAGAAACTCAATGGTATTATATAGTTTATTCCTTTCTGGTTCTATTTCCACAGTGGATAATTACAGGTAAATCTTGAACTGGAGAGCCACTTCTTTCACCTAAAACAGGTTCTGGACATGCCCTTAAGTAATTTTTTGCTGTTTAAAACTCCACAGGCATTCAGTGTAGGGTGTGGCTTGTGTGCTGCTCATGGGCAGCCAGTGACCTGGGCTCCCAGGGAGGCTAGCTTCCAGCTCCTCCTCTGGTGCTCCCCTCATCTATTCTCCTCACTCCTGCGGGAGCCCAAAGCATGCCCACCACAGCCCACAACCCCACCACTGCTCACCTGGGGCAGGGAGGCAAGGCCTCAGGCCTGGTGTGCTGGAGCTTTGGCACCCACAGCTCCTGGCTCAGGGCTCCAGGCCTCAGAGCACTGAGCAGGCACATGTTCAACCCTGGCTCCCTGCAGGAAGTACGCTGGCCATTGGGAGGGCACAATAGGCTGTTTGGGGATGCTCAGGCCCCCAGCTTACAATACGCTCCACCCATACCAGTTTATCAGTGTTGTATTAGCCCATAAATGAGCCAGGTATGTGTCTGTCAGTGTCCCTCTGAGACACAGAGACCTTGGCATGAGCTGGCCATTAGTCTGCCAACATCACAGCATTTACTTAAGGAGAGTGATTCAGCTTATATAAATGAGGGATGTTAAAATGTGTTATGTACGTAAACATGTAATGGTGACATGGCTACATGTGGTGGGGGAGCCCTTGGCCTTCCTGCACATACCAGCTCCCACCTGCCCCTTTCTCCTCTCTGCTGCCTCTGATATACAAGTGGCAGCATGGGGAAAGGTGTCTGAATACAACCTCGTACACGGGTACATGTTCACATCCTTAATATAAATAAGGTAAAGCATTGTATAAGCACACATATAGGAGCAATATAGGAGTTTCTGTAATCTATGTTCTCCTTGGATAAGGGTCTTCAAACCAGGCCAGAACTAGAGCTAATACTTGTTCAGTATGGCAAGGAGCATGTACTCACACACATGCAAAGGGACTGAGGTGTCAACTGATGGATCTCATATCCTATGACACCATTGGTGAGCGACTAAGCCAATCCTCGATTGGCAAATCTCATCACAGATGTCATATAAAAATCCACCATCTGCGGGTGTTTTATATTCTTTTTGGACCTATGCTTTTCTTGTAATGTCTGGATACATTGACTCTCGAAGCATTGGAGAATCTGTACAATAGTTTGCCACCAGAACAATCTGTCACTGGGAGATATGCCTCATGACTTCATGGTGGCCTTTAAGATATCTTTATAATACTTATACTGACCACCGATAGAGTGCTTTCCATGAACAAGCTGGCTGTAGAAGACCATCTTCGGTATCCAAGTATCCTCTATCCTCATAACATGACCAATTCAGTTAAACAGTTTGTTCATAAGCATTGCTTCCATGACACCACACAGCTTAAGGACCTCAATGTTAGGAATTTGGTCGCACCAATTCACATGGGCAACCTTCCTGAGGCTGTGCATATTGAACTCAGAGTTTCAAAATGTGACTGCGCTATGATCCTACAGCCCCAGTCACCCATCTTCCGACTGGCCAATGCCCGATGCTTCAAAAGTAATGTGCAGAAGAGGGTAATAATCAAGTGATCCTTCCTCTGTCGGTGTATGAGCTTAGCATGTGTTAACTTGGGGATCGAGTCCCCTTTATGTTCCCGGAGAAAGGATTTGAACATTGATCTCTTACGTCTCAAATGAATGGCCTAAGTGCTGGCCTAGCAGATGGTCGGAGGTGGGGGCTCCTTCAGTCTCCTCTGTTGATGGCAGGTCACATTCAATAAATATAAAATGAGAATTGGGCCACTCAACCTTGTGACTCCCTCTGGGTTCCTATGCTTTGAGTACCTGCCTCCAGAGACAAGGAGTTGCTGGTTCAAAGTCCCCTTTGTGTGTGTTGAGAGGTGTGATCTATTACCTTCAAGTGTTCCACTTTACTGTGCCCCGGTTAATATAAAGTTCCAAAGCGCTCTAGGGTATGGGGGTTGGGGTGCTCACCTGGGGTGTCAGTGTCCCTGCTCTCGCAGGCAGGAGGGCTTCTTGAGTTTCTTTTCCCCCTAACGGGAGAGGAATTGCTGCTGGGCAGTAAACCCTCCCCCCTGCCCTGCAATCTTGTCCACTATGATCAGGGTACAGGCCTAGTTTGTGGCAAACCCCAGGGCACTCGCTTGCTCTTTTGAGGGGTGTGAACTGGGGGCTCCCAGCTCCTGTGGAGAGTCACTGGTGGGCAGTCCCTGTGTGAATCTCCTCCCTGTCCCAAGAGGACAACAACCTTTTGAGAAAGAAAAGGGGTTTGGTCAAGGATAGCCCACTGCAAAGGACAGTCATATAGGAGGCAGAAAATCCCTGTGCAAACCCCTCCTGAACAAGCACCTGGGGGATTTGTACCAGGATATCCTACAACGCAGGTGAGTATCCGAACCACGGGACTAGAGAGTGAGGGACTGACATTTCCAAGGATGTCAATGAAGAATGCTCCTGTTGCAGTTTTACCTGGTCTACTTTCCCCCTCAAGGAGAATCTTGAGGGAGAGTAGCCAGCAGGGGGAGTATCTATCTATGAGAACATGAATCTATTGTCTGAATGGCAGCTTAGTCACTGGTAGCTGTAGCCGTATTCTCATGGAGTCAAGGCAAGGGGTGAGGATGAGAGGAGTGGAGGCAGTACAGAGGCATGGAGCTTCCAGTCACATAGGGATTAATGGGTTTTGCAGGTCAGACCTTCCAGTTGTACTCTTGGAGATTCACCCTCCCCTCCAGTTGTCAGGGAATGAGCCAGGCAGGAAACGTTGTGATGATGACTTGGTTGCAGATAGGTGGAATCCACTTTGGCTGACTTAAGCTGTGTGCTCCTAGCTAGAAGGTACCACTACAACATTGGAACTTAACAACAACAATTCTACTTCCCTCTGGAGATGATAATATGGCATACTAACAACTTCTCTACTGAGAAAACACATCTACTACTTAACATCTGGATGGGCCGGTGGGACTGTAATGGGGAACGCAGACATGTTTGAGGCTGGGATAATAGCTATCTGCTCAGACAGCATTTCCCACTTTTTGGAAGGGTGAACTATAATCCTAGCTATAATTGAAATTTTGCTGGAGCGTGCTTAAAGGTAAACTGCATAAATCAATAAATTATTGATTCGTGCTCTGTTTATTTATCTTCTGCTCTGCAGAAAATACAATTATCACTTAATTATAACGCTGCTGTTTGGATATAACACAAACGGCTGGCTAATGTGGTCTCTGTGTGGCCTAGGCACTGTGAAGTAATATCAATGTAACACCTCAGTAGTTCACTAAACATTCAGATAGCAAAGGGTCTGTGCAGGGAACTGGAAATGGGATGCAGAACTTTCCACTTCTAGATGGCTGTTCAAATGCAGAAGTTGCAAATCATTGCCATGAGATAGAAGGTGGCTGGCCTGTGAGAAATGGGAGCAGTCCCAGTCCAGTTCCCAGCAGGCAGCTGTGCGAGTTGCCAGAACCATCACTGCTAATTCTCGGGTTTAAAAATTAGCCCAAGGACTGGTTAGGCCATGAGGCGAAAGTAACCTTTCACACTCTGCTGCTCTCTCCTGTCCCTGTCAAGGGTGAGGCAGGGGGCAAACTGCAGAAGGAAACAGAGCTGGCAGGCCCGCCAATGGGGGAAAGGGAGCAATTGCTCCCTTTGTTCAAATTTTCAAAGGGGCCCAGAGATTCTAGCTGCCACCAACACCACTACTGCCGAGTCTCTTTGAATTGCCGCCTGAGGGTTGTGGGGGTTGTGTCATGGTCTTGGCAGTGCTAAGGGCTGAATGTCCTCAGCCTCACTCCTTGTGCCCAAGGCTCTACCCCTTCTGGGGGAAGGTTGGCAGATGATTTAACAAAAAATTCCAAACATCCCCCCCCCCCCAAAAAAAACTAAGACAAAACAAAAAAACACCAGGAAAAAATTCTGTTGAGGGGGGAAAAAAGGGGGGAGGAGACCAAAGTTAACCAAAAAAAAAAGTGGGGGCACTGTGCCTTTAAATAGCCCCACGCTCCCCAATCCCCTGCCCCTGCCAGACGCAGCAGGGGAAAATTGTCCTTGCCGGGCTTCCATCTGAGGGAAACAAGAAATACCAGACATTTCACATGTCCGGTATTTTCTGTTTTTGTTTTGTTTTTTACCAGACCAGAGAGCTGAATAACGGACAGTCTGGGTGAAAACTGGACACTTGGCAACCCTTTGGAGGCATGGCTCCCCAATCCCCTGCCCCTGCCAGACGCAGCAGGGGAAAATTGTCCTTGCCGGGCTTCCATCTGAGGGAAACAAGAAATACCAGACATTTCACATGTCCGGTATTTTCTGTTTTTGTTTTGTTTTTTACCAGACCAGAGAGCTGAATAACGGACAGTCTGGGTGAAAACTGGACACTTGGCAACCCTTTGGAGGCATGGACCCATCCAGTCAGAGCTGGTGAAATAGGCTTTTTCTATTTGTAACAAAAAAGGGTTTTTCGAAGTAATGGAAACTTTTATCAAAAAGTATTTTCAGTATTTTGGCAACTGAAATTTATTTTTTTCCCCAACCAAAAACCTGAAGAATTACTCAGTAAAAATATGCACCACATTTTTCAAAGCAGGAGAGGGAACCTCACCACTTCCCAGTGGCTGAGAGTGGAAACACTTCCTGGGCTGGTGTTGGGGCAAATGCAGGGTACCAGTCAGGCTGTCAATCCACCACTTTTCATGGGCACTCCTGGGCCAGATCCAGGAACTAGCCAGGAATGTAATTGTGGGATAAAGAAGACTGAGAATTGCTGAATGAAGGCCAGGGCAAATCCCTCATTGCTGCTTGCTGTTCTCTTGCCTTTCACAGTTCTCCGGAATGGGATCAAATTCCAGCTGAATATAAGAAAGCACTCTGTGAAGATAAAGACGATGGAGAATTCTGGTACTTTGACTTTAATGCTGGAATACTCTGGGTTTTCCTTTTAGAACCATGGGGCCCATGACTCGTTCACTTTGCTCAGGCATCAGCTCTTTCTTTGCTCTGAGTCACAGTTTGGAGCCTCCTTGTCGCAGTCCTTGCCCCCACTTGCAATCCAATG